CAACATCCATTAAGTCTTTCCTTTTTGGTGTCCCAATTGTCTCAACAAGGGAGAGCACAAACCATATGAACAGTTCTAGAGTGAAAAGGTGCGCTTGGCATGTTCGTACCAAATCCACGGGGAGATCTTCACATCCATGTTCACGCCCGGGATCTCAAGATCGCTGATCTCCGTGTGGACACACTCCCAATCCATGGGTAGACACACGTAAACTCCCAACAAACCATGGAATTTAAAGTGGATGGGATGGGAAAATATGGAATGGGCAAATGACCCCGAGTTTTCGATGACCATAAACACATTGATACCCCAAGAAGTGGTGAACTCCACTTCCATCATTCTTCCAGGGATGGCACGTCTGAAACGAATCGAAGTTCCCAACAGTCGCATGGTCTCGGGTCTTCAACGGTCCAATGGTGATGGCCAGGTGAAGTGTGTGATTTTCTCCAATGGACCTACGTGGGCGGTCATATGGACTGCACTCACCCTGGTAGACCATGCGACCATGGGACGTGGTAGTTCATGTTTGGCGCCCTAGGAATCTGGGCCCAAACCAACACATAGGGTTCCTAAAGGTCCAGACAAAGAGCCACGTCCATTTCGGAAACTGTAGGAGAAGTGGTTCCAAGGTACCAGCAGGGCATCGCAGGGCCGGTCATGAGGCCAACCTACGTACCCAAGATCAGAGGGGATTCATGTCTAGCCGCTTTGTTGCTTGCTTACTTAGTGTGTGGCTCGCCACATCCCTCCACTTGGCTGGTTTGTTTGGGTGGCTGATTGGTCGGTTTGCGGTAAGTTTGTTGAGCTAGTTGGATTGCTTAGAGTTGGTTTGCTTGGCGTTGCGCTCGTGGTTGCGTTGCGCTCGCGGGTCGGTGAGATGTGTCCGGTTTTGTGCCCTTTCGTTCTCACTGGTTGGATGGACTTCCGCACCCATGTTTTCCACTGGCCGTGAGCCCCTTTAAACAAACAATACTTAAAACAAATCATAAACAACAACTCGATGCGGCGGGTGGTGGGCGTGTTTCATTTTTGTCCAAACCGCTCCTTGCAGCTGAGGAGACTAAGTGCCAGGACGACTACTCCGCCGCTTTGCCATGTCGTCACGACCCGTCCTCACGACCCGTCTGTGTATCCCAGACCATCTGGACTGACAGATTTGCTCAGTTGGAGTGGTGCCAGGCAAAGTAGGCTGTTCTTTTCCAGTCCCATGGATGGTCAAAATGTATTGGACAAGCCAAATCCCTTTTCAACAAGTATTGGAAACCGTGCCACGGTCATCATTTGGAGACCATACTTACACTTCTTCATGGCTTCGGACACTCCTTTTGGATGGGACTTTGTGGGAGGTCCTGTTTTCGTTAAGATGGGACTTAAGGTTTATGGATTGACCTTGAGACAACATCTGGATAGGCTCCCAAGAACCAACATGCAAATGGACAATTCCGCTGCTTCTAGAAAGTGTTCTTCCTACATTCCCACAACTTGTTTTCTTGCCAAACCTCAGCCTTGCCACGGTAGCAGCAGTGAATCAAGCGCTTTGATGTTTCATCTTGTTGAGCACAAATTTTCCATACTACTCCACTTTTTCCAGTGCTCTCGAGCAAGGTCGACAGCTTCCCCCCCAAGGAGCTATGGGTCAAGACCTGGATTTCCCAAACCATGGTAGCGCACGAGATGCCACAAATTTGCTCGGGGGGGCGAGTCAGAAGAGTCCAAGTCTGGCCAAGAAGTTGCTTGTTTTCCTTCCAGAAGACTACCTAAGTGACTATCTATTTGCTTGATGTTTGATGTTAGTGGACATGACACTGATTATTGGAGTAAAGCTCTTGCAGTCAGGTAGACCTAAGACCCCCTAAGCAGCCAAATGTTCACGAAATCAAGGCAAGCAGGCGGTTCATTTCCTGACCTAGTGGTTTATCTACTCATTGAGAACCCCCCATCCCCTGACTCACCCGACTGTTCCACCCCCCCAAACTGCGACGGGGTCCGTGAGGCCTACTGTTGGGACAAGAGCTGGGGCGAGTGCCCAGTCACCTGCAGCATGGATGAAGACTACTGCTTCTCCTACCAGTATGATGCGATCACAGGAGACGGTTTTTTTGGGGATCAGACATGTGACATGCTTGTGTTGGTGAACTGCAACGATTCGTATACTTGATGCTTGCCATTGTGTGAACAAAAGCTGCATGCAGATGTTTTGGTTTGAGAAACCGTTGGATGTTTGCTATGTTTGCTGTGCCACCAGGGCATGTACACCAAAACAACTCACTGGCTGGGTTCGAACACCAAATTCTGGGCCACTCGACATTCCGTTTGGGCCATCGCTCTTAAATTGGAGGCCATCGCTCTTAGGTTGGAGGCTATCGCTATGGTACTTGTAGCTCTCTGTGAAGATCTTCAAGCGTTTTCTTGAAGCGGTATATCTTGACACATCTGACCAACCATACCATTCTGAATTTTCAACACCGAGGTTCAACACATGAATATTCAGGTCTTGGGTACGGATGATTAGTGGACAAGACACTGATTGATGTTTGATGACCATTCTGGTGCTTGATTGCAACAAGGTCAAAGAATGGGGAGCGCACCGGCGAAAGACACTTGTGAGCGCGTTGGGTGAACGTATTTTGCCCTGACATAGAGAGGTCGAGATGGGGAAGAGCGGTGTCGTTTCTGGATCCACGGTCGTCGAACACCACTTATCCGATGAGTATGCACTCATCGGATCCAAAAGACCACGGGAGTGTACACTGGGGTGGGACAGGATACGGCCGGTGTACACCCAAACCCGAATGCTACACCCCTGCACCTTTCCTTTTATGCTTTGAAGGTAAGTATCGAGGTTTGTGATCTTATGCTTGTGTGAGCAGCATCAGTGCCTGGGTTGGATGGAAAATGAAGGCTGTGGTGCTTTGGAATTCTCCCACCCACCTACCCCTACTTGTTGGTGTGTACGTATGGCCCAAGTGCCTGGGATGGACCTGGCAGCAGTCAGGCAGGTGCTGCCTGGCTGCTGCCCTGTGTTGATTCATGCAGTGGAAAATGGAGTGTGCTTCAGGAGAGCAGGGGGCTGCTAGTAGGGCTTGATGTGTGCATATTCTGAGTGTGTGTTGTTTGTTTGTTGCTCGCCATTGCTCGCCATAATATGTATAGTAAAAAGTATAACTATATATATTTTTTTTATGTAGATATATATATATATATATACTGAACAACGTGTGTTTCTGGTTGTTCTTGGTTCTTGTGGTGAGGAGAACGCAACTGGAGTGCTCCTATGACGGAGTTTTGCGCCAACCGATCTACCGGCTGCCCTTGTGACGCTGGGCAGTGGGCCTTCAGGTCGTGGGGGCAATGCAGTTGGGCCTTCTGGCCTTCTGGCATAAGACCCCGATGTTCAGAAGGTGAGGACATTTTTTCTGAAGATCCATTCTGAAGATGAACAGATATTGATGTATGTTTTTGTTTTTGTTTTTTTTTTCGGGATGCTGGTTGATTGAAGAAATAGAAAACCAAGCATATCAGGGAAGCACTCATGTATGTACGTGGCACTTGGGAGAGGCAAAAACACATTGATCAAGAGATCAGCATTCCCATTATTTGGAAGTTCTGGATCAGCTTTTGCTTCTGGATTTATTGATCAAACAAAGGTACTGGATAACAAGTCGTTTCTGGCAGTCTACCCACGTGATCACCCTGGCGAGAAGAAACTCGTGACTTTAGTCCCTCCTCGGATGCGCTGAGAGACCGAAAGGCATTCAGAGAATCGTTGAAAGGTGCTGAGAGCATCGTAAGTTTCACCACTTGAATTTGCAGGGATCACCTAGGTAAAGCCAACAATAGGGATCTGGTGTTGTGACTTTTGCGCTAAACCACTTGGGATTCTATAGTCACTTCGAACACATTTTTTTGGTTATGATTTAGCTACAGAAACAACCCACAAAACAGAGCACTGCTGGATTCTAGTCGCATCGTCGTAAAGATCTCAGAAGATCTTGGATAGTTTCGATTCCTTTTATTTTTTTCGTACACTTTGGCTTTCTGGGTCTCAGGATTGTTTTTTTTTGAGTGCGTTGTGAAACATGCAGGGAGAAAATCCGTTTGTGGCTATGAAAACAATTGAACCTCGGTTCCTGTCGCTTCCTGTCGGGGTGCTTCATGGAGGATTCCGGGGTGCCATCATCCACTCACAGTCTCGGTCTGAAAAAACACTCCTTTGGAACTCCTGGTGTACAGTATATTATTTTGTTTATTTATATATTGATTGAGACATATAACTCTTAACATGTGAAATTTGAAAATTGTTCATTTCGGCTAGAAACATGGTACCTGGTACAGGTGCTGGTATAGGTGCGGAGATTGGTGCGTTGTTGTGTGTGTTTTAGGATGCTTCCATGTGCCGGTGAGCATTTTGCCCACCGCGTTTGGCTCATGAAAAGACTAGCGAAGAATTGCAACAGCTAGTGGCAATGGACATTGCAAAAGTACATTGATCCAGAGGGATTGATTGCAAAATGCTGGTGAACAGAGTCTGTGAAAAACATTTTCTGGATATTGATAGCAATTTGCCAGACGGGCCATGCCATTGGCTGACCTCTATCGGGGTAGCTGTCAGCCTTCTGATCTGGGACCTGACCGCGGAAATTTGAGGAACTTGTATCAACAATTTGGCGAATGCGAATCGAGGACCTTTAGTCGCAACTTCTAACATTGGTGAATATAGTTCGCCGTATGTAAAGGATCTAGACATTATATGCCTAAGCAAGCTAAGGAGTTCCGAACGATCAAGATCACGCGGGAACAGTTCAGATGGGACGCAGGAACCTGACGACACAAATCTGTGGCCTTTTGTGAATTGGGCCCCTGTGTTTTTCAATGCTTGTGGAATGCCAGCAGAGCAATATGCCCACGCACTTTCCCAACCCCTGGCTACTTGTTTCAATTCAGGGACACAACCTGACAAATGGCCGAAGCAAGAATGTACTGCATGTGTGGTGTTGCACGTGGGAAAACGCAAAGAAGCATTGTGTCGTGCCAAGGTGGTTGGAACCGCTTGCACTGGCTCAGCTGCACCCAGCTTTGCGCTGGACCAAATTGTAGGAGCTCACAACTTCAGTGAAGTGATTGCAAGCGAGTCACACGCGCCTTGATTCCTTTTCTATGAAGAACAATTAAGGACACACAACAACATGTATGCCTCTACAGCGGGGGGCATGGAACTCTTATTTTGACATGTTGGGCTGCAAAACATTGCTGACTCGCATTGCTAGTTGAGGCAACTACACGCAAGTGGCTGTTGGAGAATCGGAACATGCACCATCTATACCATGACCTGACTTTTGCCCGGTGGCTGGGCAAACTGCATCAGTGTATCAATGTTAAATATCGATGTTGGACGTGTCGCAAGCTTTTCGGCGCAAAATGATACGAAACTTGAAACCAGGACTGGTGGGCAGTGTCAAGTGCATCATCAGCACTGTCCACCCATGCCACTACCAAGTGACAAGGACTTGCTACAGATCTTTGCTCTTAATTCCACCTTGGAAACACCGCATTTGCAAACTTACTTTTCTTGCAAGGAGGGAGAAGGGCAAGCACGCCTGGATATCTATATTTCAGGCTTTGTATGTAAGAACTTTTCACAGGAAAACAATGTCCGCTTCCAACACAGTGACGTGCGCGAGCTATTTATATCCGCCAACATAGAGACCGAAGCATGGCCACTAAATGAATAGTCTTTGTTTCAGGCTTGTGTGCAGTTTGTGTCATGCCAGTAACAAGAGGGTCGACGGCATAACGAGGACACACGTACATAGATAATTGACAAAATACAATAGGTTGGAGATGTGATTTTAAGTCTTCGTTTAGAGGCAGACTCCATTGGTTCCGCAAGGCAGCACTGGGTTGGCGCTAGGTTGGCGCTTTGGGGTATCTACGATTGATATCCTCCCTCCCTGGGTAGAAACATTGTTTCAAAAAGTTTAGTGTTTTCTGAGCTTAGTTTGCTATATCTCCGTCCACCTCCCATACATATCAATAATGAGCAGCTCTCCGCCATTTTGATCCTTGCTTAGTTTTCTATATCTTCTCCCACCTCCCATATTTATGAATACTAGCTGCTCCTCCAAAAATGTTTCAGTGTTTCAGTGAACAGAACAAAGTGAAAGAACAGAGCGAAGAGGACATGCTGTGCAATCTCACGGGGGTGGGCTGAAGCCACGACAGCTCCATTAGGGTCCTAGTGTCCCCCAGGCGTGTCTACGCTATACGTGTGTAGCGCCTATTGTCCGTAGTTACTTGTGCATACCTTCTGTTCAGTCAGCTGCCGCTTAATTCATTTGGCTCAAGACTTTGAAGCCCAACGCCTGCGCTCCGTGCCATAGAAAAGTGTGCTCGCCACCGCTCGCACACTGACACAAGAGAGAGGGTCTTACTTGATCAGGTCCAGTGTACTTCACTGCCACTTTGGGGAACTTACACCCACTCACTCTCACTCACTCACTCGATTACCAGCGACTTTTTGCACTAGCTGCGCTCTAGCTGCACGGTAAACGACGGTGCACTTCATAATCTGTGCGTAGTAGTACACGACTCATCTACTTGGCGAACATGTCCCTGGAAGGATCTGCGCTAGACACATCTCACCCACACACCTTTCACAGTTGACATGCCTGTGGTTTGAGTGTGGTTTTCGGTTGAAGGGGGCTTCAAGGCATGGAATTGTGGTGAGTGCAACGTTGCGATTAGACATTTTGAATATGGACCATACAAATATGCGAGTGTGGTCATGAGCCACTGTCTTGGCTTGGGCGAGACAGCTGAGGCGAGAAAAGCCAAACCATTTCTGGAGACATCGAGGTTCATCCGGAAATATGCTCCAAAGAGCCATGGTGATCACTAAATTTATAACCTGTCAAATGCTGATGCCATTAGCTTGCTCTGCCTGTGCGCACGCTTGGACGCGCTTTTCCCATCACAAGTTCAGCTAAGGGTGGCTATTCTTGAAAATGTATTTGGTTTGGCGAAAAGGAGTTCCAAAACATCGTCAACAGATGAGTTTCAGGCCAAAGCTTTCTGTCCTTCTCAGAATCTGAAATCGTTTTTTGGGGATTGTGGGGGGGTTGAATTCCTTGTGCAGTCAACTCTCAAGATGAATACTATGGCTGTGGCTTTGCAGCTGTTTACGGCTGTGCAAGACTGAAGGAGGCCATAGCAGACTTGTAGGTGCTTTTCACTACATGGATGCCTGAATTCCACAAATTTGGCAGTTGCCCAAATTTGCCACATTGTGAGTAGGCGAGGTCACCAGGTCACTCTCTCATTCGCGTGCGATGAGGGCATTGTATGCGTGTGGGAACTTGCAAGCACAGCACACTTTGGGGGAGGAGGAGAGATTCATGCAGTCTCGTATGAACCACAAAACACATCAAGCTACATATAAATTGCTCTTGATGTCTTTGTTATCACAGCTGTGGTTTCAACTAAAGTCACGCGTTCAAGCATGTTCATTCAAGGAGCAAGCAGACCGTCCCAGAAAGAACTATTCCTGTGGGCCAAGCCACAGCGCTTTGATCAAGACGGCTTTGGCAGCTCGTCAAGTGGAGCAAGCAAGCAAACTGGCTTTGTTGGCAGCAGATCCAGCCCAGAACTTGGTCAAGGTAGCTTTCAGTTCTGTGGCGCGAGGAAGGAACACAGCAAGCGCCCGGGAGACGTAGCTTGACTGTTCCAGTCGGTCTTAGAGCTTTTGGTACTTTTTGCCGAGCAATTCTCCTTTCAAATGTTTGGTCCCCCTGCCACTGGCGTGAAATTGGAACCCTTGAGAAGCCAAGGGAAGTCTACAGCGCCTTTGAGAACTCTGAGGGGTCTCTGGACATGTATGCTGCCAAGTGTGACGGACGCAAAACAATCCAGCGTGCGAAGCAATTTGCAATCGCTTGCCACATCAGCGCCCAAAGGGAGAAACTTCATGAATGGCTCTTGCGTTCTTCACCTTTGCACGTGGTGATGTGCCGAACCATGGATGATACAAATGTTTGTGTACAGCTGTCACAGCAAGCAAATGGTGTGGACGACGAGGAGTTGCCAGAGTTCACTGAACAAACGAGCAAGAAGGGCAAGATGAAGGTTGCGCCCCTGCTTGGCATTATTCAGAAGCTGGTAGTACGTCGTGACAAGCAGATTGAAGCCGAGACGGTGCAACTGCACACACCATCACAAATACTACCTAAGGCAAGTCAGTTTGCAAGTCGTTGTAGCAAGTTGACGGTTCAATTTTTAGTCATTTGCCGAACGGACATTTGTTCCTTTTGTGCGCCGTGTTTGTGAATTTGTGATAATGCAGGCCAACACCATGACTTTGTACGACCGTATTCAGCGCTGGTCGGTGTACAGTGTCGATGGATCCAGCGACTTCTTTGGTGGCCAAAAGCTGCAATCTTTCTTCAAAGAGAAGGTGCCCCTGAAGTGCATCATTAGTTGTTACTTGGCAATGTTAATTGTTGTTTTTGTACCGTGCGTGGTTTTAATGCATTTTAGGTCCATAGAGGCCTGGTTTCTCGTTCATCTGAATTCAACCCTAAGAATACAGAAGTGGCATTTGGCTGGTCAGGTTGGCACAAGTTACCATGTTGTTAAGTTGGGCTTTATTGAAGCCATGCGCTTTAGACCCTACTGTTATTTACCAGGCTACCGCCTGCAGCCGCCGACCCCCAAGGGATAGAACCTTAGCGCTAGCCTTGCTCTATGTTAGCCTTAGCCTTAAGCCTTAGCCTTAGCCTTAAGAGTGCAGACCCAACCCAGCACGACCAAAGCAGGTACCCAAAAAGTCGACTTTTTGGGTACCTCCCAGATTTACCATCGGACGTCAGCTCTTGCATGAACCCCGATCATTGCCCAAGAATTTAGACCCAACCCTTCACCACCAAAGCAGGTACCCAAAAAGTCGACTTTTTGGGTACCTCCCAGGTTTACCAATTTAGACCCAACCCAGCACCACCAAAGCAGGTACCCAAAAAGACAAAGCCTAGAGCATTCCTAGGAAAATGCCAGAAAAGCCTTTGAAAATCTCATAAACCAACAGAAAACGTGACAAAATCTACGAAAAAGCAAGGGCATTGGCCGGGACCATGCCGCGACCAGCCCGGGATTCGAGCCCAGGACCATTTTGGACCGTGCTTATTTTCCCGCGCGGGTCGAGAGGGTGCCCCAAGATGTAAGTCAATTGGGATGGCAGAATCTTGGACAATTCCCGGGTCGCTCAGGTAGCTTTCAGGGCACGATTTCGTAACTGCAACAAGGGTCCGGAGGGGTAGGGGAGGTAAGGTCTAGGTCTAGGTCTAAGGCTAAGGACTAGGTCTAAGGCTAAGGCTAAGGCCTAAGGCTAACATCGACAGTCACGCCTCACCCCACGGTGTGGGGTCGGCGGATTCTATCTCCACTGGTACTTGCGTCCAATCTGCTCAAGGCACTGATTCATTACCTACGAACATTGCCATTGCCGCGCTGGAACAACGGAAGTTCGTAGATGAGGACCTGGGACGCACTGGGCTGACTTTGCTATATTCCCTCTGTCTACATCATCAAGCTTGCCTGTGCAAGAAGCCTTTGATTTTAAAGCTTTCTGGCCTTGCCACAGGCGCGGCTTCATATCAACTGCCTCAAATTTGGTTTGCAGGCATTTGGTGTTTTGCAAATCCCTGAGGTATGGTCAGAATGGGGAACGCAGCCCGCTCTGGACTTTTTGCACAAAGACTGGAGGCAGCGATCGCAGCTGTGGTTCGGAAGGTTGTCAGAGTTCCAGTTGCTGAGCTTCCCGTGTCTGTGAGAAATCAAATGGCCAGAAGTGAACGAAAGCTAAGCCTTTGCTCACACTCCATGAGCGATGACATGAAAGAAGAGCTGTTGGCAGTCTTTAACAGTGACTGGTCCTTGCCTGTGGGGCGCACAAGCACTTTGTCACACTACTGTGCTCCAGGCTGTTGTGAGCGAGATGAGCACACGAAGGCCAAAGCCAAGCAAATCCTGATGACCCTATCAGGAAAGTTCTTCAGCCCACCGCTATTATACCGATGGAAGCACTGGGAACCCTGCATGGAGTATTGCTTTTTGAACGCAATCTTGCATTCTTTGTTACAGCACCTGTGGCAGTGCTGCCTGTCAGACAAATTTGACGACCCCGACGGTCTTGATGGGTGGCAGGAACTAGCAGAGATTGATATGGATTCGGCTGACCTTAACCCTGCACTGGTGCAGAAAGTCCGAATGGGCAAGGTCATGAAGCTTATCAGTGAGCCAGATTTCTTGGTCCCTGGGCACAGTTGTAGCAACTCTGACATTTTTCCAGATTTGCACTCAATTGCAATCCCACAACTCCCAATACCTACTCCCCACTCCGCATACTGTTTCCATTGAGACTGCAAAAGCCAAGGCCAAACTGGTGAAGTCTACAGTGCTTTCACGACCACTTGCAGATTACATGGACCGCTTGTCTCTGGTGGAGACAGTGAGGCATAGGTCCCAGCTGCGTTTGCGTGGAATATTGCCCGAGACCAGCAAATGCTTTATGACAGACGAGCAACTTTCGGAGGCAAACTTGGCATTCTTGACAGGCGACGCTGGCCTCACAGTCCTCCAGGAGTACATGGACTTCTTACAATGTCCGGGAGGAGAACTGTTGCCTGATGAGTTCAATGTATCTCAAGACGAATGCTTTCCCCTTGTTGTCATTGGGCTTTGCGACTCATGGCGAAGGCTTGTGCTGCCATTCACAGGATTGCCTTGGACACTCTTCCGTGCAATCAACATCCCATTCAATCAAGGGCTAGACTACATGCGTTCTCTTGGTCTGCGTGCTGGCGCATGCTCACATTGCCAAGACCAATTTTTTTCGAAGGTTTCTCGGCTTTTGGAAAGCTCAGGGAACTTCAAACCGGGCCAGCTTCCACTAGTCAAGGATCCAATGGAGGCAAATTGACACTCGAGCACTGTGCTACCTTCTTAACTGTACAAGCTTTACACAAAAAGAAACACAAAAAAGAACAAAAACATGTTTCTCGCCCGTCATTGCATGGGGTCTTACAGTCTTACCAAGGTGATTGCTCATTGCGTCCAAACACTGCAAAGAAAAGGTTGTTCAGTGTCTGTGCGACCACAAAAACATGAGTACAAACATAGCCTAGCGTAGTTCATTGGCCCTTGTGAGCAGAGTTGAACTGACGAGATATTTACTCTACTTTGATCTGTACACACGTTCCATTTGTTGAACACCATGTTCCAGGAGCGGTCCAAGGAAGAACTGAATATATATATTGCCTTTGGAAGACGGACGTGTTTTTTTGTCCGCTTGCGCAGGGCTCGAATACGCACAAGTAGCTTGTGACTTCTGACTTAGTGGACTTTCCACCTGTGCCATGATGTCAGATTCTGCTGCCCCTTCAAGCCCAGACTCAGACGTTGTGATGGAGTTTACACTTTGCAGTGATGATGGCACGTGCCCAGACGACACAATGAGCTTGGTGAATCATGATTGCGCTCTTGACGGTGTCCCACTTCAAGAGGCCCTACAGCGTGGTGATGGCAGTGATCGCAGTGATCGCCCTTCATTCAGACGTTCCACTGCTAATGAAGAGCTTCCCGAAGTTCCAACCTCTGAATCTGATGTTGACAGCCCACGTGGCGATGATAGTGCGTCAAACTGTGACGACGAGAATGCTGGCACAAGCCACAATGGTGCTGATGCAGCTGCTGGTCCTACTGATGATGCGCAGAACAATGAGTGCTCCGATGACGACAGCGACGATGGGAATACAAATGTCTCGTCCATCCAGGGTTTGCCTTCCAGTGATGCGGGCACTGAGGGTGACTCTGATCGCTCTGATGCAACCAGCATTTACCTTCTCCCAGCAGCAGCGCCAGGGCCACCGCAACCGCCGGGGCCCGTGCCGGTGTTGCCGCATGGACGCGCAATCCGCATCGTCTTCAGGCACGAAATGAGAGTGGAGATTACGCTTGCTCCTGGCGGCACTCCCGTTACAAGAGTTGTGTTTGACCATTGGACACAAGTCC